TCTGACTACGGATCGATAGAACTTACCTTTCATTCTAGGCGAAATCTTCGGATCACACAACACCCCTGAGGCTAACCGCCATTTGGCCCAAGCCACTCCAACCCGATGTCCAACATCCGCATCTAACTCCCCATCCGCCTGAATTACCGAGCCAAGATAACGAAACCTGTCTACCTTAGGTACTAGGTGAGAGTCAATCTTGACTTCCACCTCTGATTCTGTATCCCGGCCGCTGAAACGACATTCCATGTATTCAGTCTTATTCCTACTTATTCTGAATCCTTTAGTCTCAAGGGCAAGGCGCCATAATTCCAACTTATCGTTTAGTCCCTCTCGCGTGTCGTCAATAAGCACAATATCATCCGCGAAAAGCATGCACCATGGGACCCCGTCTTGAACACCTTGAGTTAGGACGTCCATCACCAAGGCGAACAAAAAAGGGCTAAGAGCAGACCCTTGGTGTAACCCCATCCCTACCGAGAAGGAATCTGAGACGCCCCCAAAAGTCCTTACCTTGGTCATAGCCCCATCGTACATATCCTTGATCGCGCGAGTGTACATGATGGGAACTCCTCTCGCCTCAAGGCACCTCCATACGACCTCCCTTGGTACCCTATCATACGCCTTCTCAAGGTCAATAAACACCATATGAAGGTCCTTCTTCCTAGCCCTATACTCTTCCATTAACCTCCTCACGAGATGAATGGCCTCTGTAGTCGATCTGCCAGGCATGAAACCAAACTGGTTCTCCGAAATGCAAACCTCTTTCCGCACCCTATACTCAATAACTCACTCCCAAACCTTCATGGTGTGGCTAAGCAATTTGATGCCTCTGTAATTCTCGCAGCTCTGAATGTCACCTTTGCCTTTAAACAGAGGGACCAAGAGACTCTCCCTCCACTCATCAGGCATCCATGCTGTTCGGAGGATAACATTGAAGAGTTTGGTTAACCAAACCCACGCATCACGACCCGCATGCTTCCAAAACTCCACTGGAATCTCATCTGGTCCCACAGCTCTCCCATTACGCATCACGCGGAGAGCCCGAACCACCTCTTCCAAGCAAATGCGCCGGCAGTACACATGAGATGGAAGAACATAGACCTTTTTCATGGGATATAGACCAGTTTGCATCAAATGTCTAGATGAAATTTACATCAATTCACGCAGGGTAGAGATGACATACATTTTCATGGGAGCTTTTTCTCTGACGATACTGCTCCTGAAGAGGAAAACGACTGGATCCAGTCATGTTCAATGCCATAGAGTCTCTTAATCCTGCTTCCATCACGTTAATAACACACAAACAAAAAAATAAGCGAAAAACAACAGCTGCAAACAGAAATATATATTCGGAAACAAAAGGGCCTGCAAAAACAATATTAGACCATTAAGAGATCAACAAAATTAATCAAAATTGAATGTAGAATAAAGAACGACAGAGATTCAAAGTATCAAGATCGAAGATCGAGAGCCTTTGGGAGATCGATTGAGAACAGATTCAATGTAGCAAGCGAGAGCGAGAGAGAGCAGAAAACGGAAGCGGATTGAGAATGGTTCGCTTCAAACTGTTCTAGGGTTATATTGACGCCGTTTGGCAAAAAAGAGTCGTTGTAATTTACTTGGACTAAAATGCCCATCCGAGTCAGGGGGGTTCCAGCAACTCTATGATTTGGAAAGGAGCTCTTAATTACGCTCATTTAATTATTAATTACACAATATAAAAACTATAAACAAGTAATAAATATCATAATCATCTTGCCAAACCAGAGCCTTCCTGTCACGTTTGCTACGCCATATGTGCACCACATTTTCAGCCATATCTTCATCCTCCACTACTCTACTGTCAGCCCACTTGCATCACTATCATTTTAGCCATAGCATTATCTGAACTAGCAAAGGTCAGAAGCAAATAGGATATAAGAGATGGACCAGTTCTGTTAGAAGTAAATGATTTGGTGTAACTGGAATCAAAGATTGATCAATGTATCCCAAGTTTTGTTGGAAATAAATGGTTGATTTACCTCATCAGAGATAGATCAATATCCTA